AAAAAAAAAAAAAACAGAAAATCAAAAATGATCACATCTTCATTCCTTATGATCCTGGCACTGGGCACCTACTTGGTCCCCGTCAAATTTGATGAACAAATTGACTGAGTATGAGTGCAAGGACTGGGTGTGCTCAGAGTTGTTTGTGGTAACTGATGGAAGTTGTGGATGGTTCCTTTGTTTGTTTGTTTTGTTTTTAGAGACAGGGTTTCTCTGTGTAGCTCTTTGGTGCCTGTCCTGGATCTCGCTCTGTAGACCAGGCTGGCCTCGAACTCACCGAGATCCGCCTGCCTCTGCCTCCCAGGGGCTGGGATTAGAGGCCGCCACGCCCAGCTATTGTGTCTGGTTCTTACGTGTTTAAACCTCATTGAGTTCTTAGGAGCGAATACTGATTGTGTCAAGCATTTCTTTACTCTGGCTCTTCTGTGGAACAGACGTAAGGTGAGTCTTTGAGAAACATAATCTTGCCTTCTGTTGTTCCTTTTTCCTCCAGGCTGTAGCTGCACACAGCCCTTGCCGTAACTTTTAATTCTCTTTGGAAAGAAACTGGCCGGCGGGGAAAATGATCAAGTTTTTCCTTATGGTGAACAAGCAAGGCCAGACCCGGCTGTCTAAGTACTATGAGCACGTAGAGATCAATAAGCGGACTCCTCTGGAAACGGAGGTCATCAAGAGCTGTCTGTCTCGATCCAGCGAACAGGCAAGTGTCTGCCGCTTTTTGTCCTCCCTGTGGGCTACTCTCAAGGGTCGTCTCTGCGCTGTATCCCTTCGAGGGCTATCAGGGAAAACAGGACTGAAGAGAAAGGTAGATGACAGGAAGCGTGACTCCTGCCATCCCTGTGAGACGATAGCAGAGGCAAGCCAGGGAAGTCCTGGGTTTCTCCTTAGGATAGCTGTCTTAGTCTATCACAGAAGTGGCTGCTAAACTTACTCCTGCTTGTAGACATAATCTTCCTTTTTTGTTCTCATGAATTCAGCCCTTGGAACTCTGGGCAGCGTCTGAGACTGGCTGGTGGCTTTCCGTAAGCCAAACCAGGAAGGTCAGATGACTGGCATGGCAGCGAGACTCAGGACTCATGTGGTGCCAGAGGATAATAATAATACGATTTCCATTCGGATAGTCATTCTCTTCTGCTGGCCGTCTTTTGTAAATATACAACCGACGTAATACCAGAACCAGCGATTTAAAAACAAGCTTGGTTTGAACTCACATTTTTTAATTATGTAGATAAGGAAAATGGAAGATAACAGTTCATACAAAATAACAAATCTATTCCTCCTGCCAGAACCTGGAGGCTAAATACATTCATTAGCATAATAAGGAATGGTTTTGTGGTGTGGTTTCTACTCTTTCAACCCGGGGCCTCAAGTGCTCGCTAGGCACCCGCTCTCCCAGCCTGATGTGCTGCTGCCTGTTCCAAAGAACTGAGTGCAGAGAGCTAATTCTAGGACAGCCAAGGCCACACAAGGAAAAACAAAACCAAACAAACAAACTGAGTCCATTTTTGCAAAGAACTTCGAGAATTTATTTACTACAACTCCATTAGAAAGCATCGGACAACGGTTCCAAAGTCAGAATCACCCATTTCTTCTCGGTTCTCCATCTTACCCCTTGAGAGGCTGCCAGTGGGGAGCATCAGCTGTCATAAAAGACTAAGTTGCATCAACACTCACAAGTTGCATGTTACAAGTGTGTTTCCCTTGGCTTCAGAATCAGTTTTCCAGTTGCAATCTCTCCTGGTTTCTCTTTGAGTTACTCCTTTGGCCTGCTGTGGGCACACGCTGCTCGATGGTGTCAGATGGAAATAGGAACCAGGAACTGTGCTTCTCACCACATGTGGGAAATACATGAGAGACACACGCCTGTTGGAGTCTCCCCACAGTCCACAAGCCTGCCGTAATTTAAACAGCATTTCTACCAGAAATTCACCCTTTGGAATAAAGATATTGGTGGATTTTGAGGGTACTCTACAATTATTTTTATTTTAAAAAGAAACCACTGAAGCCAGGCAATGGTGGCACACACCTTTAATCCCAGCACTTGGGAGGCAGAAGCAGGTGAATCTGTGTGAGTTCGAGGCCAGCCTGGTCTGCAGAGTGAGTTCCAGAACAGCCAGAGTGGTTATACAGAGAAACTCTGTCTCAAAACAACCAAAAAAAAAAAAAAAGGAAAAAAAGAAAACACTGGACTTTTGGCATCTGATACCAGTGTATCATAATATCAGCTTAGTTTAATTCTGTCCAAAGATGTACTTGGTTTTTGTTTTGTTACATCAGAAATGCTTGAAACTGAAAACTGTTCCTCAGCCATTCATGGTGGCCTATACCTGTAACCCCAGCCCTCGGGAGGATTGTGAGATAAAAGCCAGCTTGAGCTACAGAACAAGCACAAGGCTAGCATGGGCTATAACATGTGCCAAAACAAAACCAAGTAACTACGGTCTGGAGAGATGGCTCATGGCTAAGAGCAACTGCCGCTCATGCATAAGACCAGGGTTCGAGTCCCAGCACCCATATGGTGGCTCCTAACTATCCGTAGCTCCAGTCCCAGGGATCCAATGCTGTCTTCTGGCTTCTTAGGACTCTTGCACACATGTGGTGCACATACATACATACATTCAGGAATACACATAGTAGAAGCCAATACCTATTTAAAAAAAAAAAAACAAAAAACAGATTTTCAGTTCTTTCAGATAGGTGTGCTTCCTTGAAAGTTCCAACTGACAAATGTCTCACTGGCCCTCCAGTGAGCTGGAAGCCACAGCATGGCCCTTACTGCCTCTCGCTGTCCTAGTTACTAGTTAGTTTATTGTTTTGGGGACAAGGTCTTGCTTTACACCCCCAACTAACTTTGAACTTGACATGTGCCTGCCTCCGCCTCCCCACTTCTGGCTCTCACTGGCCCGCGCCACCTGACGTGGCTGTCTATTTTATTTTGTATTATGTATTTATATTTGCTCTTTTCAGTTAAGGCAGGTCCACATTCTGGAGCCTGGGCTGTCCATGAATTTGAGATACCCCTGTTTCAACCTTGGATTAAAACATGATCCACCATGCTTGGCTCTATCCTAATTTTATATTAAACCCTGAAATTCCTCCTTGTTATATAGACTGCCAAGAACCCTCCCCATGGAGGGGTTTCCATAGTCAAAACGGGCGGCTTCATTCTCAGGTATACTGGGTGCCAAAGAGCAATATATCTTGCAGCAAAAAGCCACTAAGTGCTTGCTTGATCACATGTGGCCAAGCACACCTTGACACTGAAGCCTCCCATCTGCCTGGGGACTTCCCATAACCCTTTGTACAGAGGCTGAAGGAGACGGATGAGAAAGGAGTTGTTTTATCTACAGGTCTGTGGTAGTAAGCTAGTTATTAATTCATAAGAAACAGTATTTACAATGGAAAATCTTGTCTAGCATCTGCTGTGCAAAGGCCACCGTTACATAATTTATAAAATAATCTACATTGGTTCTTTCCATGAATAGGAAAAAGAAGTTACATATAGGTAGATGATGGATGGGTGATAGGAGATCAGATTGCTTAGCTGGTTCCTCCATGACTATTCAACAGTACAGAACTGAGCAGATCTAATTGCTTCCCAAGAATTCATGGAAAGGTGGAAGGAAGATGTTCCTGCATCTTTACATTAAAGCGCTTTCAAATGCTAATTACTCATTAGCTTTGCTGGCTGAGCACCACAGGGAGCCAAGAAATGAAAGAAGAAGAAGAAGAAAAAGCACAAGGGGACCCATGTGATCACTTGGGTCTTCCTCCAAGACTGCTTCTTCTCCTCCTAAAGATGCTCCTGGGTAACCACTGAATGTTGTGAGAAGCCAACAAAGGCCGTTTGGCATTTCAGTGTCTAAATTTCTGGGGTGTCGGAAGATACTCAAACTGTCACCTAGGAACTTTGCATGCTGTGTGGAGAAACCTCCGTCAACCAGACATTCATGTGTGTCTACTTGTGTTTCATCTAGTGCTCGTTCATCGAATATAAGGATTTCAAACTCATCTACCGGCAGTATGCAGCTCTCTTCATTGTGGTCGGAGTTAACGACACTGAGGTAAGATCGCCCCTGGACCATGTGAGACTTCCATTCTCCTCAAGTTCAAGGTTCCTTCCTGCTTGCTCCCCAAGGACTAGTAAGCCTCTTCCAGAGTATCTGGGCCTCACTGAGGCTGGAGAGCTGGATGGAAGAGAAACACTATAAATGCTTCTTGGACTAGACGACCAGCTTACAATTAGAGAGGCATAAAACTACAAAATGCTTTCCTTTTTAGGGGTGGGGTTTTTTGTTGTTTATTTTTGTTTTTGTTTTCTTTCGGTTTTTTGTTTGAGTTTTTATTTTGTTACTATCTCTCTCTATATATCTATCTGTCTGTCTATCTATCTATCTATCTATCTATCTATCTATCTATCTATCTATCTATCTATCTATCTATCGTCCATCTCACTGTGAGCCTTGGATAACCTGAAACTTTAGGAAGCACTAACTGCCTCAAACTCTTAGAGATCTGGCTGGCTCTGCCTCCCAAGTGATGGGATCGAAGGCGTGCGTCACCACACCCAGCTGTTTTGTTCCATTTGATTTATTTGGACCACAGCATACATGTGGAGGTCAGAGGGCGGCCTGCAGGAATTGACTCTCTCCTTTCTTCACGTGGGTCCTGGAGAGCAAAGTCGGGTCCCCAGGCTTGGTGACTGGTGCCTCTCCCCGCTGAGCCCTCTTGCTGGCCCTTTTATTGTGTGTCATTTCGTTCCGCTCCGTGCTCAGCTCTGTTCTGTTGTGGCAGCCTCTGTTGTGCTTCCCAGACCAGTGTCATCCCTGGAGGCTCCCGCAGGCTTCCCAGCTCCGCCTCCAAACTGCCGGTCGATGCAAGGACCACCGAGCCTAACCATAGTTCCCTCTTTATCATAGGCCATACTGTTGTCCTCCTCCTGCCCTGTTACACGTGGGCGCCTTGGGCAATCACAGGTGCCTGTCAGTCATAGCACCAAACTGGGACCAGGACTTGTCATCTAAGTGTGAAAACCAGGGGTGTGCATCCCCAGAACCCACATACAACCCCGGCAGGCACAGTGGCCACCTGTAATGTTAGCGCCCAAGAGACAGAGATGGTATCCTGGAGGCAAGCTGATCCTACCTCAGTAAATAAGTGGAAAGTAATTGAGGAAGACATCAGAAGTCAACTTGGGGCCTCCACATACACACACAGGTGTGCCCATACACATACAAATGTGTACACGCATGTGGAAAAAAGACATGGCCGACGCATCAGAAGTCACAGCAAAACATAAGCGTGGTTGTGCTGTGTTTCGCTCTCAGGTGAGCCTTGCCTTGTGAAGGAGGGAGGCCAGCACCCGCGGCCATGGAGACCGCAGATGAGGGCTGCACCCGTGCCCATGGAGACCCCAGATGAGGGCTGCAGAGTTAAAAGCCTTTGAAGTCTCGGTGGGCTGGGCGATTGCTTCAGACACTCGCTTAAGGAGTGGAGCTTGGGCTGGAGAGATGGCTCAGCCGTTAAAGGCTAGGCTCACAACCAAAAATATAGGAGTGGAGCTCACACCTCTAATCTGTGCTCTGACATTTCAGTTTGGCCACATTCATCCTGGACTATACTCGTCTTAGTGGTTAAGGTTTCTTGTATCTCATTCATTAATAAGCATCTTTTCCAGGCAGTGGTGGCGCATGCCTTTAATTCCAGCACTGGGAAGGCAGAGTCAGGCCAATCTCTGTGAGTTTAAGGCCAGCCTGGTCTACAGAGCAAGATCCAGGACAGGCACCAAAACTACACAGAGAAATCCTGTCTCGAAAAACAAACAAAAAGCCGGGTGGTGGTGGCGCACGCCTTTAATCCCAGCACTCCCGGAGGCAGAGGCAGGCAGATCTCTGTGAGTTCGAGGCCAGCCTGGGCTACCAAGTGAGTTCCAGGAAAGGTGCAAAGCTACACAGACAAACCCTGTCTCAAAAAACCAAAAAAAAAAAAAAGAAAGAAAAACAAACAAAATAAGCATCTTCACTTTTGTTTCTTTTTTCTTTTTCCTGTCCTATTTTGAGACAGTGTCTCATGTAGACCCAGCTGCTGGGGTTACAGGCATGCTCTACCACACCCAGTCCCATGCTGCTGGGGACTAAGCCCAGGGCTTCACACATGCGAGGCAGCATCCCAGGCAGGGGCTGTACCAACTGAGCTCCATCCTTCGCCTCAGTAAAATCTTCACATGAGCAGCTACAGGCCCTTTGCATGCCAGTGACTGGGCTGCCGCTTCGCTCACACATCTGTTCTGAATCTATACTGAACCATGTGCTCTAACCTGGGAACCCACTGGGCTTGTTTGTTTTGTTTGTTTGTTTGTTTGTTTGACTGGGGATATGATGAAAGTAATTACACCCTTCTTTTATTTCAGAATGAAATGGCTATTTATGAATTCATACACAATTTTGTGGAAGTTTTAGACGAGTACTTCAGCCGAGTGGTAAGTCTAGTGACTGGAAAACGGCTTTCACCCAGTTTTCCAGAAATTGAGTCACGCGGATGTGTGTCAGGATTGTGTGTTAGTGTAATGAACATGTAGAAGCTAAGGTCAGTGGTGCCGGTTTGCTGTCCCTCTTGCTCATCATAGGTATTACAAACCGTATGTGCATTAGCTCTTCATGAAGACTATTTTAGTCGGCTTCAATTGCTGTGGCCAACACCAAGCAACTGGGGAGCTTACAGCTCTCGGGTCACAGTGCATGCATGGCTGAGGGAAGCCAGGACAGGAACTCGGGGCGGAATCCGAGAGGCAGGAACTGAATATGAGGCCATGGAGGAAGGCTGCTGACTGGCTTGCTCCCCTTGGCTTGCTTTTTTTTTTTTAAATATATATATTTTTATTTTATAATTCAGTTGATTTCACATATCAGCCATGGATTCCCCCGTCCTCCCTCCTCCTACCCTCCAGGCTTCCCCCCAATCCACCCCCCATTCCCACCTTCTCAAAGGCAAGGTCTCCCCTGGGTAGTCAGCCCAGCTTGGTAGATTCAGTTGAGGCAGGTCCAGTCCCCTCCTCCCTACACTAAGGCTGAGAAAAGTGTCCCAAAAGCCGGCTCATGCCACCAAGGACAGGTCTCAGTCCCACTGTCTGGGGGCCTCCCAAACAGTTCAAGCTAATCGACTGTCTCACCTATCCAGAGGGCCTAGTCCAGTGCCATGGGGGCTCCTCAGCCATTGGTTCACAAGTTCATGCATTTCCACTAGTTTGGCTATTTGTCCCTATGCTTTTTCCAATCATGGTCTCAATATCTCTCGCTCAATATTCCTTGAAGATTAACCAAACTGAAGAATGCATTATAAACTTATTTTTATAACAAATCTTCTAAATTCTCTCCATATCACCATAAAAACAATTATCCAGTAGTCTTTAAGTTGCTATATGACCTTGGTTCCTCTTATCTCTTCATCTGCTCGGTTGCACTGGACTACTTCTGTCCTCTTTGTGGTCCCTTGGACGTATGTTCTCCTTGAACCTTTAAGATTGTTATTTCCTCTGTCTTGCATAGTCTGCTGTGATTCCTCCATCGCTTGCCTACTCCTCTTCAGCTCTGTACTCATATACTGCTTTTCCGGTGAGGGTTTCCCTGCCTTCTCTCACTCGGAATAAAAGTTTCTTACCCATTTTACACGGTCTAAATATCTTTACAGCAGTTCTAGCTTCGTTTCTATCTGTGTGGTTAAAACGTTGACCAAAAGCAACTTGGTAAAGAAAGTGTTTATTTTGTCTGCCATGAAGTCAGGGCAGGGACCCAAGGCAGGTCCTTAGAGGCAGGAACTGAAACGGAGGCCATGGAACAATGGAAGAATGCTGCTTACTGGCTCGTTCTTCACGGCTCACTAAGTTTGCTTCTTTATAAAGACCAGGATTGTTTTGTCAGGTGTACCACCACCCAAAGTGGGTTGGGCCTTCACCCCATCAATAATTAATTAATCAAGAAAAGGTCCCACAGACTTGTCCAGAAGACAGTCTGATAGAGGCAATTCTCATTGTGGATTCCTCTTCTCAGCTCATTCTAGCTTGTGTCCAGATTCCCAGCACACCTGCGTTACTTTTCTTCAAATCTCCTGTCACCATCTGAAATGCTTTTGTATTTGTTTGTTGGCAATTTCCAGGCACGGGCTTCCGTGACACACAAACCGCGCTGACACGTCCCCTCATGTCTTTCTCTCTTTCGCATC